GTGGTCCTCCCTGACCCTTGGAATGCCCTGGTGCTCACGATGACCTACCCCCCAGGGTGGGCCAGCTCTGGAATCTGATGTCCTTCCGTTCGCAGACGGAGGCTCCTCTCCTGATCCGGCCCTACTTGGCAGACATGACGCTCTCTGAGGTCCACGTCATAATGACTGGAGGCTACGCCACCATCGCTGGCAGCCTGCTCGGCGCCTACATCTCCTTTGGGGTATGTCGCCTCCCTCTGCTTGGCTGGGGCCACAACCTGAAACTCACCTTTGTGGGAGCCCCCTGCAGCTTCCTGGCCAGAGCCTCCCTGGCATCTCCTGAGGAAGGAATTCAGGGGCAGTGAGGCCACTCCACCAGGCTCCTCCTTGGGCCACTGTGAAAAACACAATCACTGTTCCGTTCACTGAGCACCTACTGTGTGCCGGGCAATGTCCCAGGCATTTGAATATCCCCGTTTGACAACAAGAAGATGGGAGTTCAGGAGTGACATGCCCAGAGCCAGTGTTTGCTGAAAGTGCCTCTCGGCTCCTAGGTTAGTGCTTCTGCGGTGTCTGAGTCAATGCGGTTCTAGTCAAATTCCCGCTTTGCGAATCAGGCCCACGAACCAACCAGAACCCTATCGCCAACAAGCAAAGACGAATCTTTAAGTGTGTCCCCTATACAAGCCAAAGCATACTACCTGCTGTCAAGTTGATTCCAACCCATAGAAACCCTGTGTGTTACAGAGTAGCACTGCACCATGGCGGTTTTTGGACTTCGGTCTTTACAGAAGCAGATCGCTAGGCCTTGCTGCCACAGTGCCCCTGGGCAGGTTCAATCCTTCAGGTTGGCAGCAGCCCACTTGTACCACCAGGGGCCTTGTCCCTTACCAGGCCTCCGGAGACAATGCTTTGCATTGCTGAAACACTGCTCTTTATTTGTGTCAGCACACACAAATTGTCCAAGGTCTTTTAATTTGTTGTTTTTTTAAACTACCAAAGAGCGAATGATCATCAAAACAAAAAGTTTTCTTCCTCATCCTGGCTGCCAAGGGGTGATCGCTTTGAACAGTTTCAGAACAGTGGTTTTCAAAGTGTGGTGACCACGCCAACACCACCTGGGCCCTGGTCAGAAATGCAGACTGCTGCTGAAGCAGACAGTCTGGGGATGCGACTCACAAACGTGCCATTTAGCATGCCTTCCAGGTGTTTCTGATGCTTATGAGAGTTTGAGAACTACTGATTTATGTCGTTCCAGATCTTTCTATGCCTACACATTTAAGTATATACATCTGAATATGCACAGACCTCCTTTGTTTCTCTGTTTTGACCAAAGATGAGGTAATGAAATTCAATAGTATAAAGGGAAAAGGTCGACAGACATGCTTGTAAATGCTAAAAACCTCTGTTGGCTTGTAGCTCTGATGCTAGACACTTCAAATATCAGCTGGGTCCCAGGTTCCAGCAGAACTTACAGACTAAAACAGACTAGGTTAAAAAGGCCTGGTAATCTACTCTGACAATTGGCTAATGGATCACAAAGAACATGATCTGAAGGTGCTGACGATGGCCCGGTCCAGCAGTGTTTGGCTCTGTGGTACGGGGGTCGCTGTGAGTCAGCGTGGCCTCCATGGCAACCAGCAGCAGCCCCCTTTCTGGTCCTGACCTCGGAGGTGACAGGGTGGTGGACAAGAGGACATTCCAGGCTGCCCCTCAGTCCCGCTCTCATTCAGGATACTGGCCACACTAACCAGCTCAGCTCCATGTCCCCACACAGCTGCTCAGGCAGAGGTAGCTGGACTTTCTACAACTATAAACAGTTACCGCTTCAGAAACCCACAGGGGGTCGCTATGAGT